CCAGTTCATTTGACAAGCACTAATGACACAGACAAAATTAAACATGAAAAATATTTTTCTCTCCCATCCCTTTTTTCCTCTCCCTCTAACCCCCCAAGGTAACTACAGTTCTCAAATCGGGGTGCTCCCCGTCTGTCCACATTTTTTGTCCTTTATTACCAAGGAGTATGTCCATAAGGATACATGTATTTAATTTTTAGGCTAAGAACTTTTTGAACTTTTCCTTTTGGTTAAAACCTTAAGTGGAAGCCTAATTTAGAATGGCAGAGCAGAGGTACTCTGGGAGAAGAGGGTGGCAAGCCCATCCACAGCTGCCATAGCAACCCCTCCCTCAGGTTCCTGCCAACTCCACAGGCCTAAGGTTTTATGGAGGCCTATTTCTCTAGAAGCCTTTTGAACACCTTCAACAGAGGGACAGCAAACCCATGCCTGCTAGAGCTTCTAGGTCATAAAAATGAGTGAAGGGGGCCCAGCCAGATCTCAGGGAACCCAAGAACAAAAGTCTGTAGAGGTGACAGTCTCTCAGCTCCAGCCAACAGGTGCTCTGTGAACACAGTGCCTTTTGTGGGCCATTCTTTCAATTCTGTTCAGAAAAAGCTGAAAAATCCAGCTATTTACAAGAAATTATGGAAACCAGGCCAAACGCAGCTACGACTCTTTGCAGAAGAACTTTCTATTCCTCCCTCCGCTACTTATCACTGGGACAAGACTATAAGCTAGCTGAGGGCAGGGGTGCTGCGTGAGTCATCACCGTACCCTCAGAACTGTGTCCCCCAGTAACACTTCCTGAAGGCCATATAAACCTCTGGCATTTCCCTTCCTTAGACCAGGGCCTGAAAGCGGGCAATCTTTCCTTACCCATGAGATCCGCTCAAAGAGCTTTGGCTGAGGCCAAGAGTGGTGGAGGTGGCCCCCTCCAATCCAGAAGCAAGAGTGAGCTCTCCAAGAGGGCAGAGGGAAGGATCAGGACCAGCTCTGGGCGCATCACCACAAGGAATCTAGAATCCAGTTGGGGATTCTGGAGCTAGGGCTTCTTGCTCTGTGCCCTAGGATCCCAAGAGCCCAAGCTCCTAGGTCAGAAAAGCTCCAGTCTGTCCATCTTCACGTGCTGCCTGGAGTCTCCCATGGGACTTTAAGCCATGTGGAGGATGACAGCAGCAATGACACTGATCACACATTCACCCTGTGCTAAGCTCCCATGATCTCTGCTCTCTCCTGACTCTTACAATCCATGATCCTTTCTCAAACCCTTGGGGTCAGATATAGTCAGGTTCTGACTAAATGCTAGTATGGTTAACATATTGCAAATCATATAAACCCCCAGCAATCTGAGGAAGTCTTCCGTAATCAAACATGTGGACATTTCTGCAGTGAAAGGCACAAATAACTCACTGCATAGGAAAAATGAAGACTTAACCTGGCCTCAGACTCTGCCACTAAATAAATGTGTCGTACGCTAACATTAAAACCTAGATAAAACAATTTCTCTGTCAAATG